TACTCAGAATACAACTGGTACTTTAGAGTATCATACACAAGCTCAATCCCTGGAAGACGCCAGGAAGGAAGTGGCGGCCATCATCATACCAAGTGAGGATGAACTCCGAGCAAAGGCTGAAGCTATGGTGCGAGCTAACCACGAGGCGGAACTAGCTGAACTCAAGGCTCAACTCATCTCTTTTGATTTGATGCGTGAGTGAGTTTGGCTTCTGTAATGTTCTTTTGACAAGATATCATCATTTTGCAAAATAGTCCAAAACATGAAAATGTAAACACATGAGTTTGATGTTTTGACCTAAACCAACTTTTAAAACTTTACAAAATGATTTTATAGACTTAGTAAAACATGTATAAACTGATATTAAAGTCTACAAACTAAGAATACAATATTTTCACAAATATAATAGAAAATGAAACCTATGAGTATGTATATGAAAATATATTTGTTTCATATCTAAGTAGATAAACCAAATCACAATATGAAACATGTAATTTCATATTTATAAACATGAAAACTAAAACTTGTGTTGTATATATATGTGACTACATATATATACAAGGAAACCAATAAAATGTGTGTGTATAGATAATTGAGCTTAGAGTACTTAACACACATAATATAAATCCTAAACTACATTACCCAAGCAATCTTGATCTTCAATTAAGCTTGACTTGGTACACGTTGCGGATGAAGCTTGAACTTGATCTTTAACTTTGAATTGCATAAGCTTCACCGACATTCCGCTAACCTCCATTGGATTTTATCGTTGAAGCTCTATTCCATCCATCCTCCAACAACGTTGTTTGTCTACAATAAATAGGAAAACACAAATACTAGACAAACAACATTAGTGGTAAATTGTTTGTTAAACATCATCAAAACAAGAAGGCCAACACCTACCCCAAGTGTTAGGAAGTATAACCTCTCTCTAGGCATTACCACCTACCTCACTCCTCTTGGGACGACCCCGTCTCTCACCACACACTCCTCTTGGTGTACTAGTGTATTACAAAGTGATTTTTATAATTAAGGCTCACAATACAACAAGTTTGTTCTCTACAACAGATGAGAACTCAATGTAGGTTCACACTCAATTATTATAACTCTCACAACCCTAAATATACTATGTATGAAAATACTAAAAGCTCAATATGGGTGTGTGTAACAATAAGATTTAATAAAACAAAATTACACTAAACTCAATTATAAAAATCTAGCTTATAGAGATGATAATCAACAACAATGTAAATACAAAGCTAGAAATTGAGTTTAGAAAACTTCTCTATAGATAATAAGAGAGAGGGAGAAGAGTGAATGCTCAAACACCAATAGATGATCTCCACTTGCTCTTGTGAAATTGTCTTCACAAACAAAACACTTAAACAAGGCTTAAACACCTTTAAATAAACTAAACAAACTTTTAAAACCCTTGTAAAACTTTTCTCTTAAGTAAATAGAACTGAGGATATATAGGGGTATTTATAGGAACCCCAAAGCCAAGAAAAAACAAGGCAAAAAGGCCAAAAAACCAAAACTGTAAAAGGCTGGAAAAAAACTAGTCATTACAGCATCAGTCAACTGACGGCTTTCATTAGCCGACTGATGAGCTGACCGTTAGAGGCATTTTCCAGCTCATCAGTCGACTGACGGACCTTATCAGTCGACAGATGACCTTATCAGTCGACTGATGACCTCATCAGTCGACTGGTCAGTCAACAAAAACAAAACAGAAACTTTTTGTTATTTCAGGCGTTTTTTTCAGTCGACTAAACATATTTATCGGTCGACTGAACATATTTATCGGTCGACTGATAACACTGTATCAGCCTGATTTGAATAGTAAAACTGATTTTTAAAGTGCCTTTAAAAATAGTAAATAAATTCCAAAAAATGTAAAACTTTGGGAAATCATTGTAAACATGTAAATGAACATGTTACAAAAAGAATTTTTAGAATTGCACTTTTTAATAGTGAAAACTCATCATTTTTTAAATATGTCCAAAAACATGAAAACTAAACATACATGTTTTTGTCATTTGACATAAACACAATATTGAAACTTTTGTAAAATAATTTTATAGACTTAATAAATTGATATAAACTAATATTAAAGTCTATAAACTAATAAAACAAGAACACAATATTTTTCCAAATATAATATAATATGAAACATATAAAAGTATATATGAAGATATATATTGTTTCATATCTATCTAGCTAAACCAAAACATATATGTATATATATAACTATATATATACAAAAACCAAAACGTATATATGTGTATATAATTGAGCTTAAAGTACTAACACACATAATATAAAACCTAAACTAAATTACCCAAGCTTGATGAAGGTCTTCAATAAGCTCGACTTGGTAAACTTACGGATGAAGCTTAAACTTAGATCTTCAACTTGAATTGCAAGGCTTCATTCCACTATTTTGCCAACCTCTATTGGATATGATCGTGAATACTTGATTCTATCCATCCTCCAGCTTATTGTTTGTCTAGAATAAATACAAAACACAAACACTAGACAAACAACATTAGCTGTAAATTATTTGTTAATCATCATCAAAACAAAAGGACCCAACAAAGTGTTCAGATCGTCAACGGGATACAAGACTCAAGCTCCCATCGTCACCAAGAAGAACCCAGTATTAAACAAAGGGAAGGATCCTCATCGATTCTTCGCTCATTTGTAAATCGGGAAACCGATAAGAAAATTATAATTTCTTTTTCTAAATTAGTTAGAGAGAAGTTACTTTGAGAGATTGTATTCATTCTTTTCCTAAGTCAATTAGGAAGATCAATACAAATTTATTTCTCAATTTTCTTACAATTTTTTTCTACAAACAACTAGATCATTAATAGTCGGGTTGTATGGCACAGAGGCAACATCTTTGATTCTTTATTTGTCACAGAACTTGAAGAATTTGAAGAATGGTCAACTGATAAATTGTGAGCCATTGTCGTGGACAATCCTCTGAGGGATACCAAATCGATAGATGATGTGGTATTTGAAGCACTTAATCCTATTAGAAGCCTTGACTCCCTTGAGTGGGATGGCTTCGGTCCTCTTGAAGAAGTAGTCGGTGATGTCCAAGATGAATGATGTCCTTTAACAGATGGTGGGCTAATTGGCCCGATGAATCCATTCCCTACATCTCGAGCGACCAAGACGCAATGGTAGAATGTAATTCTTCTGGGGGTTAGTTGTAAAAAATATGTAAGAAACTGGATTTTGGGCCTAAATGATGAACTCAGTCCTAGAGTTTGGGCCCATGTTGATGAGCTCCACATATACCATTGTGGGATTCTTTGAGTGCCTCTTGGGCCTCACTTGATATCAAGCATCTAAGCAATATATGCCATCTAATGATTTGCGATACAATGCCTACGTGACAAAATCGTAGAAGATGGGAGAGACTCTCCTTTGGATGGAGATTGCTTACTTCAAATCTTCGAACAATATGCCATGCAAGACATGGTCGACGGATGGATAACACCAATCATTAGGTTCAAAACCCCCAAGTGTGGCATCCAAGATTTGTTTGGGACAGCATAGCTGATGACTAGCTATTGTGATCTGCTTGGTAGACCTAGAGGTCAAAGCAAAGGTAGCTACTATAGACGGTTAAAATTCTAGGCTAATATCCTGCTTGGATCCCAAAAAGTACACGCCTAGTGGCTAAACACTTCAAATGGGCTCAAATTCGAGCCCACAAGAAGCTGTAGCGAAGTCCGCCTAACAAAGTATATGAACTACGCCGCACAGCTCATCACGATTGGACTGAGTCAAGAATAAGTCAACTCCTAAATAGCTGCAATGAAGTCCATCTAACAAAGCATGCGAAATCCACCACATAGCTCATCTCGACCCGACCAAGTCAATAGCGCGTCGACTCTCAATTTAGACTTCAGGCCTAGTCAAAAGGCATCGTTAGTCGGCCAAATCATGAGTCAAATTCTGTACTAAATTCAAACTCATATATGAAGTTCACCAACCAATGAATTTCGTTCATAGCAACCCAAGTGGGTCACGTCATCCACGATTCCAAAGAAGGCTAACCCACGTCCAAACAAGCCTCACCCAAACATCTTCAGCGAGCTTCGCCGAATTAGTGAACTTCGTCAAACCACCGTTTGAAAGCTATTTGTAAGGGGATAAACGCTCCTCACTACCTCATATTTTAATGGCTACTTAACCCACAATTAAAGGCTATTAACTTTGATGATTTCAGATTATTTAACTATGCATTGTATCACAAAATCATTATTTTAGTTTTTTATAGCATCACATAATCCATTACACATTACAAACACATCAAAATTAATGAAAATTTTATTGCTTCATATCCAACCATATAAATTTTCAGTTTAAAAGTATATATTTCAAAATAGATATATGATACTCCCATCTTATATATTATCAAATATATAAACATAAATTTTTGAAAAGTGTCATGTTTGAATCCCTAGCAAGGCAAAGTAATTTTTTTAAAAAGTATTTGAGAATTACATCGAGGTGAAAACGTATAAACCAAAAAGAAAATAAAAAGCTAAATAACCGGAAACACCCTTAACTTCGGATGATTATAAGACAAACCTCTATAACTTTTAAAATATCAAAAAACCCTAGTTAAGTTAGAGGTTTAAAGAGATTAACAGAAAGCCTCTCTTAACTTTAAGATTTTATTAGAAAATTTTCTAAAAGCATAAAGCATGGGTTTCACGACGAAAATATGTGCACGTGTAATTTTACCCGCGCATATGAAATTGAGGTTAATGCTATTTGGGGATTTTTTGATAAATTGTAAAGTGAAAAAAAAGGAGTTTTCTGATAACTCCAAGTTAAGGGTTCTTTTTATTTTTATTTTTATTATTTTTTTGATATTTTGAAAGTATTGGGGTTTATCTGCTAATCACCCAAGCTGCCAGCTGTCCGGTACCACTTCTCCATACCAGCAACAAAGGCGACAACCAGTTGCTCGTGTGTCCGGATCTTTTCTAGCTCTCTCTCTCCTACATTCGACTGAAAAAAAAAAAACTCAAAACTCTGTAGAGGGAGAGAAAGAGGGGAAAAAAATATTAAAAAAAAGAGAGATATGAGCGGAGACGGAGGCGTTTTTGGTAAAAGATTCAATCGACAACATCTCATCCTCTACCTCTCCATCTCTCTGCAACTAATCCAAGGTACTTTCGATTTCCAAAATTAGATCTGATCGATTGGATCCTCGATCAATTGACTCGATTCTTCTAGGCTTTTTGTCTCTTTAGTTCTTTTTTTTTTCAAACGAAATTCGCCAACACTGAAGTAGTTGAGAAATTAAAAACGGACTGGATTCCTGTATGAGTATGGATGTCGAATAATCCAGTTTAGATCTTGATCTGATTCAAAATTTTACTTGTGCTTTGATAATTCCCCATCAGGTTGATTTTAGGGTTTTCTTAGCTATTTGAAATGGGAATTAGGAAACTGAAAAAAAGATGGTCTCTTGGGCGCTATTATTTAGGGTTTTTGCTGCCACCCTGAAACAAACCATCTGTTCTTGTCGTTAGGGCGGTAACCGGTAACCGAACCAGATCAAATGGATTGGAAAGCCTGAACTTTGCCTGAATTAGTTCATCCTCAGTTTACAGGTTCTTCCTTCAGAGTAAATTAGTGTCAAGTGAAGTCTAATTGCTGGTTTATCTGATAGGTTCTAACTGTCGGTTTGGTTTGTTGGATCTGTAAAATCTTTGATGTTCTTGGATTCTAAAGGAATGACTTTCGTAGGATTGGAATGTTCGGTGGTTATTCTTTAGTGGACAAATACATGGGCTACAGAATCCCAAGAGTCTCAAGTTTGAGCTACGATATTATGATGACTTGCAGTTGTCTATTTCGCTATGCTTCTACTGTATAATTCTATTCTGTAACCTTCCTTCTTGCAGTGTTTCTTGCCCTTCAAATATTGCTTGCTCAAATGTTGAACTTCTACATGATGCATTAACTTTTTGCTTCCATTATATTATTTTCTTCGATATTCCTTATTGAATTGTGCCTGACTCTCAAATATTTTTTGCTTAAATATTGGCCTCTCTAACTGATGTCTAATTTTCACTTCTTTCTTTAAAAATTCGGATTGTGCTCAACCCTACTCCACAATCTTTTCTTCATATATTACTATAATTGTGCCTCTAAACATGTTCAGATATGCGTGATTGTTTGCGGGTTTTTTTTGGACATTATTCCCTGCAGCAAATCCATTACCCATATGTTTTTGTATGCCTTTTTTTTCTGAACATTATTCCCTGCAGCAAATCCATTACCCTTTCCTCTAGGTGCTTCTAATTTAGAAACATTATTCCCTGCAGCAAATCCATTACCCTTTCCTCTAGGTGCTTCTAATTTAGAAAATTTTGAGGGTTTCTTCTCTGTTCGTTCAAGCTTAAGTTCTTTCCTCTAGGTGCTTCTAATTTAGAAAATTTTGAGGGTTTCTTCTCTGTTCGTTCAAGCTTAAGTTACGTGATGAATCAAATAGATTTTCCTATCCATATTCTGAGCTTTCAGGATTTGCAGCAAGCCTGTTCCTTGTTAAATACTTGACATGGAAATGTTAGAAATTTAGACTTACTTCAAGGTAACAAACATGTTTTGCAATTTAATGAAGCCTTGTTCGCACTGCTTTATTGATTGTAAATTCCAATAGGAAAGGCTTAAAAGTGATAAAGATGACTTGTGCTTGTAACCATGCATATATGCGGTCCGCATGTTTTAACGTTCCTACTCTGTTGGCCATGAAAAACATTATCTAGAGACCATGCATTCCACATTTTCTCTTTTGTTCATTTTTATTGTCAACCACCTTACCATTTTCTAACCACCAGTTCAGTATTTTGATTGTTGCTAGCTGATTGGTTAAACATTATCCACTTGAATTATGGTTGTTTAGCTGTCTTTCATGATTAGCTATTCCAGCTACTGTAATATACTTAGTAGTAATTTTTCTTGCTAAATTTTGCAAGCGATTTGATGCACAATTTTAGAGTTTAAATCAATTAAGTTTAAGCTGTAATTCTTATGCTATGTGTTTTTATTGAAGTGTGGATGGTAAGCTGATTCATTTAACATAGTCTTGTGTTGGGATATCAAAATGCTGACTTCCAACTTCTTGTCAGTTTTGTGTTTTCCCGAACTAGTTAAACTCCTGAACTTGTTTTCCATAACTTCATTGTTGCGAACGTATCATTTGTTGCGCCTATGAGCAAGGTTTTAAACATTGGACATCGAAAAAATATCGGATGACCAAAATTCATATCAGATTGCGGTTATATGGGATATATTAGGGATAAGCAGAAAAAATCGGAGTGTCATATCGGCCCATATATTAGGGATAAGCAGAAAAAATCGGACTGTCATATCGGATGGTGAGCGTATATAATTTAATGTCGTAAAATGTAATCTAAGCACACTTAATGAAATGTAAACATACCAATATGCCTTAGAGAGAAGACTTAGGGCTATCAAGCGATTTGAATTTGGGGAGTGGAGGCAGAGGGAAATTAGGGTTGCTCTAAATGCGATGGGGAACAGTGAGTGGGAATGGAGATTTTGATTTTATTTTGCAGGCATCGGGTTCGGGTCTGAAAAATAAGGATTTTGGACCCAATATCCAACTAATACTTAGGGATTTTTTTGGCACAATCAGCCAATTTAGACTCTATAAAAATCAACCAATTTGGATTTTCATCGATATATTGGAGGAAATTGATGAAAAACGATAACGTATTTAATTTTCTAGAAATCATATCGACAGTGGTCCAAACCCTAAATACTGTCGATATATCGATAAAATCGGCCAATTTTTAAAATATTGATGAGACCATCTCCTCAGTCATCACACTTGAATTCTCAATCCTTCAATTCAATCAAAGGGCCTTAAACACTGAATAACTGGTTTATATTGATTTCCATTTGCACAAATGACTAAATTAACAAGTGGGAATATCATCTATAATTTTTGTTGATAGGAAATGTAAATTGACTTAAAAGTTATAGATCTAGATTATAGGATTTGTAATTTTGTTAATAAATGTGAAGTAAATTTTATGCGCCATCATACATGTAGTATTTGTCTAACTGCTTAATGGGTAAAAATAAAATTATCACTAAACAACAATAAGGTGCCGGACATGTGATGAAGGGTTAGAAAGCCTTTTTTCTGATGGCTTTAAAATCTCTTAAATAACTTATAATCATGTTAAACAGGTTCTAGTTTTCTGTATACGATTTAATAGCACCGAAATACAACCAAAAATTTTGATATTTTAATGTGGGACTGGTGCTCCATAAATGTTGCTTCTACGTCAATAGGAAATTTCTGAGATATATAACTACAATTTGGTATAGTACATGACATGCAATTTAAAACCATTGTATTGCAAATTTCTATAGTAGACTATATACAAATTAAAATTATTGTACTTATACTATGCTAGATCTATTCCAGCTGACAAATAGAGGTTTAAGTAGTAACTTGTTCTATGTCTAAATTTATTTCGGCTGATAAATTGCGGTTGTACAGTAATTTGGTCTACATCATCCTTTGCTAGCCTGTGTCATCATCTTTTTTTTGTCCTTTTTTTGTCCTTTCTTTCTGGTTTAAATGTAAATTATTTCGTTTGCCACTTTACTCAGGTTTAGGTGATAATCCATCAAATTCCAAAGACCGAGCCAAAGCTGAGGCCTCATCTAAATCTAGTAAGAATACTGGGCGTAATGTACTGTTGATATGCCTTCTTGTGGCTGCTGTAGTGGTACTGTCAATAGTCCTATTCAAGTTATGGCAGAAAAAGAGGAGGGAAGAGCAACATGCTCGCCTCCTAAGGCTGTTTGAAGAAGATGATGATCTTGAACTCGAACTTGGCCTTCGGGATTGAGAGCTTTACTGCTCTCATTGTAGCATACTCTGAGGTACTTCTAGCAAGTTTTCTTTTTCTGTGTTAATCTGGCATGTATTAGTACCTAAATTTCTTACAAGAAGTTTGTGCATTCATTGCCAGTGCTACTGGCCATAAGGTTTATGCACTATCATCTCATAGAAGAAATTACCGCAACTTCTGTGGGTTTTAAGATATCTACCAGTACAAATCGATAACATTTATGTCAAAATAACATAGCAATTCTGGCAAGAAGGGTTAATAACTTTCTTCTTTTTATCCATGCTGATAGCTAATGGATATATTTCTGTTTCAGAAGCTGTAGTTCTTGAATGATCTTGTTTTAACCTTTAATGTTACCTGATACGAGAATGAATCTAGTTTTCGACGCTTGTTGGTACCAAGTGGTAGGGCTATTTCTGTTCAACAGCTTTAGTTCTTTGACAGTCTTTTAGTAACTCTATTTTATTTTATCTGACATGCAAACAAACTTTAGCCAAAATAAAAATGTGAAGATAACTTTTTTTAGTCTAATGCAGGAACTGAGTTCTCTAGAAAGACCTATAGACTATGGTTTTCCTTTTTGTCTCCTCAATCATGAAACCGTACCCATAACCGACACGTTTCCGTAACTTCATGGATACTCCTTGATTATATGCATTCATTTATTAAGACATGTACTCAATAATATAATCTATGCTTTAATTTAAAACATTTGTCAAACACTTCTTGGATGTATAGCCTACACTTCACATCCATTTCTTAAGACTAGTTGGGGGCCGGGTTCATTTTAGCCCATATTCAAGTCCAAAACTATAAATTTAAATGGTTGTTTCGGTGTCTGGTTCAAAAATGTGATTTCTAATTTATGATGATCAATACAATAAAAGAAATTTAAAATGTGATAGGGAATTTTAATGCTAATGACACATGAAGTGAAAAATAATAATGATGTCATGTATATTATCTTTCTCTCTCTCTCTCTCTCTCTTAAATGGTTGTTTCGGTGTCTGGTTCAAAAATGTGATTTCTAATTTATGATGATCAATACAATAAAAGAAATTTAAAATGTGATAGGGAATTTTAATGCTAATGACACATGAAGTGAAAAATAATAATGATGTCATGTATTTTATCTTTCTCTCTCTCTCTCTCTCTCTCTCTCTCTCTCTCTCTCTCTCTCTATA